ATAACATATTGCAACTTTTCTAGAACCAAACTAAATAAACCAGACAACTGTAGACTACATTGGAGATGCAAACATTTAAAATTTGACACTTATTCACTGTGATGCAGGCATTTGATTGATTTCTGTCTGTCCCAATCAAGTAAACAATAAAATAAAAATAAGTAACACTGCCACTATGAAACGTTGTAACATGACATCATGCATGTAAGATCACGCCCACAGATTCCTGCTGGAAGGCAAAAAATACTGCTCACCAACAGTGACCACCATTGGTTTTAGCTGGCAAGTTGTCAACATAACACGCTTATGTATGCGTGATTAGATAAAAGAAAAAGGCACATGGAGTTTTGCAACCAATTGTCAACACTACGGCAATTAGATAAGATCCAAGGGTATCACATTTCACATGTTAGCAAAAAGTTTTAATTGGAAAAAAAAAAGTAGCGATGGGGAAGAAAGTAGGACTGTTATGCTAGCTTGACGATGAGAACCTTAACATGTAGATGTGCTGTGGAAATTTGTGTTTCGGTTCAGTTAAAAAAATAACTCACCAACAATGACAGATCATCAGTAGTGCAGCTAGTCAAACCCTGCTGTGTTCAAACAATCGCTTATTAATAATCGCAAAATAAACATTGAGCCTGAAAACATAGCACTGTAACGGACTGAATGTTAGCATAGCTGCTGCTGTTAAACCAGTCACTATAGCAACGGGTCTGTGTGTAGCAGAATAGCGAAGACAAAGAGCAAGACAAAATCAAAATGAGTGGCTTTGAGTTGTTCTTCAACAGGTTTTCTGTGTTATTTTTCCATTTGTTGCACTAAAATAAAACCTACATCTCTAGATTTCATTTTGTGTTCAACCAAAGCAGCGCAGCTACAGATGGCAAGTAAAAGAATCTGCCCTTTGCCCTCCACGTTGTGCACATTCTTAATATTTCCAGCTGTAAACCATAACATGCAACGTGTCTATAAACATGTTATATATGCATATAAATAATACAAATACTAATGGTTAATATCTGTTATTGGCCAAAGCAGCAATACTAGTATGGGATGTCAAGATTTTCAGCTCTATTTTATATTGGATGACATTTTAAGTTTAGAAATAGTAATTACCAAAAAAATATGTAGTAGTTTAATTGTTTTTTTGATAGCTTAATTAGCTTTACTGTTGAAACTCGAAAGTGACAAAAATACAGTCATGTCACGTTAAGTTTATTTCAGAAATAGATAGTAAACTAATTAACTTTTGACAGTAGTGCAGTTAGTTAATTTTGAATAACAGCAACAACCTGTCATTTCAAAATTATGTCAAGTATCAAACAAAATAAGAAAATATAAAGAAGTAATTCAAGTTTAAGTGCTTTTATTAAAATCCTGAACATGATAATATTTAATCCTTTGGCAGGCTGCAGAAGAGGGACTGAAAAACTGTGTGATCTCCAGTCATGGCGCGGTAATTGCTAAGGGGAAGAACAGAGAAAAACAGCCAGACCACTGACCTCTCACCTAGGGAGCATCCTGCACATGGCAGCCTGAGCTGAGGGCTCGCCGCAGGGGAACAAACGGCCAGAGACAAGGAGGCGGTGGGCAGGAAGAGCAGCGCGGAGAGGTGAGGGGCGCACTCAAGAGTCGAGGTTATTGGGTTACGGAAAGGACCGCGAGTGGAAAAAAACACAGAGGAGAGATGCAGGGAGCAGGTAGGAGGAAGAGGAGAGGTGAGGGATCTGGTGTGAGGAAGAGGAGAGAAAGGAGTGAGAGCGAGAGGAACGAAAGGTGTTATGCTGGGATTAAAGCTGAAATGAGCATATGGGGAGGGTGAAAAACAAATAGGGGAAAAAGCAGCGCAGGGTAAAGATCTTTTATTAAAAAATTGCATTCAACTTTACGCCTCTGGCGCCAACTGAATATCTTAATTAGATGAAGCAAAAATCAGATCAGCTGCAGGTGTAAATCCACCTCAGGCTAGTTTGGTTTCCTGTCAGCTTGCAGTAATTGTTTACACAGAAATAAACTCACAAACAGGTGGAGGGCAGCTCAGACTGCAACTGGCTTGTCAATATGGATTTGTGTGGATACTTGTAAAGTGGACAGCTCACTGAGCAAGCCCAAGTGCTTCCTGTCAATATTAATTTTCTCGTAAATATCATCAGAGGAAGCCATGTGGAAAGCAAGCCAGGGGAGAACCAAACAGGAAAATGTGAGAATGCTGAGGAGATATGTTTTAATGTCAGACGTAGCTTTACTCATAACGTATGAGCTGTGTATTAATACCAAAGGAGAGGTAATTTTGGGGGGGGCTTATGTTTGTCCTTTCAGGTTTATTAGATAGTGGGGGAGGCTGCGCCAACAGCATGGTGCCTTCTGAGGATGCCTAGTTAAAGTGGAAACTGGAGGATGGAGGGATGAGGTAGGACTCTGCAACAAATTCATTTTATCAATTAATTAAATTGTCGTTTTTTGTAGATTTAGACTCAGTTCATTTGGGGACCAAAATTGCAACATTTGTTACATTTTCAGCTGATTCGCTTTCACACTGCACTGTCGGACAATCCAAAACGATTAAAAAACCTGTTCCCCTCCGCGCCTTTGGGGGCGCTGCACCAAGAACCAACATAAAAACCTCTGAAGACACTGAGCACAACTTCCTTCTTCATGAAATGCAATCAAACATTTTAGTGGTTCTAGGATTCCTCTTTTGTCTTCGGCTAAAAACCATGAGCCATTTCTCCCACTAGCACTAAACTCGCATGTTTGTTTTAGCTGTATTTACCCAGAATTCCCTGTGCTATAGTCCGTTTCCTACTTCTGGAGCAGTCTGCGGTCTGCATGGTGCTCACATATGTACCAGAGTACAATTCAACCAAACTGAGACGTAGGTTTGTAGGCAGACTAGAGTTCATATTTTGGTCCGAATGTGCATTTACACCAACTCATACGAACCGGATTTTCTAGGTAAACGGACTGGAGTTGGATTAAAGGAAACTGAACAAGGTTGGTTTGAATTCAACCTTAAATTTTGAAAATCTGGATTTTTTTTCCCACCAATGCACTCTGTAGGTTTCTATAGATTAGAAAGCGCCAAGAACAGCCATGTTGTTTTACTGGACCTTGAATTCAGACTATTAGGACGAAGTTACAGTATTTTTAATTACAAGAATTTAGTCACAATATTACCAAAATAAAGTCATAGTATTAGGAGAATAAAGTCGTATGACAGAGTCAACATAACATGAGAATAATGTCAAGATATTAGCAGGATGAAGTCGTAATCTTTTGCTAACGCCTACACAAAAACTAAAAAAATCAAAATGAGGAATGTTGAGGAGCTTATTTTACTTTGGTATTGGTTTTAAGGAAATACTTCATCTTTATCAGAATCAAACCAGTAGAAGGACTTTGAAACAACTGAGCAGACGACTTGCTGAGCTGCTCACGTCAGGCCTTTACAACTTTATCCAAGATTTTTCTCATTAAAGCAACTTCCCTGTATTTTTAGGATATTATTGTGCTATTACTAGCACTATATTCTTGTGACTAATATTCTTGTAGCTGGCTCTCCCACTCCATTGTCTAACTCACAGAGGGGATGGATGAATTAAAAGACACTTTTTAAAAATGTTTTCTGCCGTTTCTTACTTCATTTTTTTAGAAAAGAAAACGAGAAATAAAATTGTTTAAACCGGAAATCAGATCTGATATGAAAAAATTAGAGATTTTATTTTTAAGCCATGTCGCTCAGTTCTATTGAGAAAAGGAGGCGAAAGGTTGTTGCGAACAAAGGCAAGGTGAGTAAAAGGAGGGAGGAAGGGGAAAGTGGTGCGCTTGGCGGGAACCGTCGCTGGATTTAATGCGGTTTCTCTGACCAAGCCTCCAGCGTTTCCTCTCAATCCTTCTCCTGTCATTTCCTTCTGCTGCTTTGAACCATTCTTTCCCATTTCTTTCTGTTGAACATGTCCTACTGTAACCTTGCATTTAAACATTGAAACTGCACACATACATTTTCCACATTTTGCAATTTTGATCCACACATAGAATTTGAAATGATCTCTGTGAGATATAAAAACATGGAAAGAAAAGATCTTAACTAAATTTAATTGTACACTGCTCTGTTGGTTTGTATTTGTGTTTATGCAGTTGGGTATTCCCATTAGAAACAATAATTGAAAACTAGAAGATATTTTGCTTGTGTTTGAGTACATAATATGATTGAAATCAGTTGTTTTTTGTGCTGAAACAGATGAGTAGAAGTTTGCATTTGGCTGGTTTCCTGTGTAAAATAAGAAAAATAAAAAAACTAAATCACAGCCAAAAAGCAGCAAAAATTGTATTAGCTAACACACCAGTCACATAAATTACTTTGGCTTTTCTACATTGACAATTTTTCTCTGATTGTTTTTTTTTAACAAAATTACACATTCAGTTTGAGTATTTCAGATTATAAAACAGGCAATACAATATTTTTAACCAAGAAATATGATGCAGCTTTCCTTATTTTCTATGCTTGTCCTGAAAATACTTTCGTTTGTTTTTGGTATTTTGTTTTAAATAAATGCAATGCAAAAGGTAAAACGATACAGGATTTAAGGGTTTCATGGTGCGTACACACCAGACCGGTTTAGTCTGCTTTAATTGAACATTAATTTGTTTGCCTAGAAAGTCCAGTTTTTTTGGCAAAGTGTGAATATGTAATCGAACTCTGATGCAGACAAAATGAGAACTCGTCTGCACACAAACCTACATTTTAATTCGGCTGAAGTGAACTCTGGTGCAGCTTGAATGAATATGTGAACGCAAACAGACCAGAAGTAGGAAGCAGACTACATCGCAGAGGATTCTGGGTAAATGCAACGAAAACAGACGTGTGTATCTAGCACTAGTGGGAATAATGATGTGGTCTTTTACCAACAACAAAAGAGAAATACTACAACCACTAAAATCTGATGCCACTCCATTTTTGTCTACATTTTGTAAAGAAGGAAGTTGTGCACAGTGCCTTCTTCTGAGTTTTTCATGTTGTTTCCTTCAGTGGTTATTGGTGCAGCGCCACCGCAGGTGAGGGGAGGAACAGGATTTTCAAACGCAGTGTGAAAGAGAACTACAAAATCTGGAAATTTAACAAATGAAGCAAAATTGCAACATCAACAAATGTTTGCAGTTTTGTTCCCCAGTTGAACCAAGTTTACTGGATTATCAGATGTGAAAACGCCCTAAAAATCACAAACCATCTGGCTGGAGGTACAAACGATCACAGATGTGAACAAACCACAAAGTTTGATTCACATGCTCCTGTATGGCTCTTTTAAAATCCTTTCACTTTTATTGAAAGCTGTACTGCCTTTGTGGATTTTTAAAATCACATTTTCAGAGTTTAGTTTAAAGGAGCAAAAGTGGAGAACGTCTAACATTTTAACTTCAACCCTGGTCATATTTGGCCTTTAACCTAGATGATAACTTGATGACCCACAGAGTGACATGATATTAAGAAAAAATATCCTCTCGGAAGAAGCCAAACTGTTTCGAACAAAGACTTTGTGTACACACACACACACTCACGCACACACCAGTTCAGACTGGGACATCAAGACAATGTTTTTGCGCTCCTGCTGGTTTCCACCGGTGGCGACAAGCACCTGTGCGTTTTGCGCAACAAAGGTTCCTAGCAACAGTTGTCGAGCAGAGATGCACACCTGTTTGATCTGCCTGGACCCTCTGTGATAAGTGGCCTCGGTTACCATGGCGACCAGGATATGGGATGGATCCATGTGGCGCTATTGAATGGCCTTGGATTATAAACACACGTATACAGGCAGACGCAGAAACTCATGAAGACACACACATCATGCTTGAAGGAGTTTGTCACACACACACACTCTCACTTTAGAGACAGCAAACAAAAAAAAGGAGGAAAATCACACAAACCAGCCGAAGTGGTACGTCTAATGAAGCAGTCGGGGCATGCAGGTTTCACACCTGCATGCAGACTCGTAACAGACTCCACAATTGAGGAAACTTGCAAAGGAAGGTCTCACATTCGGAAAGAAATAAACACACGTAGGCTGACTTCTAGCACTTCACAATGCAATGTGCGGAGAATTAAAAAAAAACAACAAAAAACAACATGACAAGGCGGCAGATGGCCGACATGCTAACAGTTACTCACAGCGTGCAGGTGGACGAGGAAACGCTTTCCCCTCTCTCTCTCTCGCGTGTCGACCTTGTAGAGAAAACGAATAGTTAAACCGCAGCAGTCATTCACACAAAAATAGATGAACGAGAAAATACATAATCGTGGGAGCTGTTACATTTTCTATAGCCTGAAAGGCAGGATAGAAATGTGAGCATTGAAATGCGATCAAACACGAACAACGACGCGTGCTGCTCTGTGAGCTTTCTCTTTTAAAATTGAATGGTAACCAATTAAGACACCCAGTACTGTAAAGTGGCGTTCTTCTCTCAAAGTTCTGCGTTTGTGCTTCAGGTGCGCTGCACAGGTTTCAAGCATTGAAATGGAAATGATGTCTGTTGTTGGTGTTGGGTTAATTTCATGCATAGAGATGCAGCATACAGGCCTCCCTGCACAAATTAAATCATAAATAAATGGCTTTTGTAGTCTCTTGATGGATGAAGTTAATTATTTTTTCGCTAGCCTGGTTATTCTGGGAAACTGTTACATTTAGCAATGTGTGTCATTAGTTTCCTCTCTTAAATATGATAAATCAGTTGGGTAATTCTGGTTTTAAACTATTATTTAGGAACCGTCAATGTGTTAAACCAAGCATAAAATGGTTTTTCATTATAGTTCAGTTTTATTTCATTTTTTACTTTTTGTCTAATTCAGCTAGTTACATCGATTGGGTAATGAATACTCAACAGAAGGCGCCATTTTCAAAACATATATTCAGTTATTGTTAAATTATTATTTTCTCCAAACTTTTACTGTCGCCATTTTGCAAACTAGTATAAATTTGCTGACAGCTGATGTAAACTGCTTGTATGGGGGAAAAAAAAGTTATTTTGCATCAGTTTGAAAAGGAAATGTATTCATAAACACAGAAACAAAAGATATTATAACAATAATAACACAAAATATAGTTCTAGTTCTTCATAGTTTTCTCCCATTAGTTACCGATTTTACTTATTGCAGTTAGTTTTTGTTTTTCCATTAGTCATCGTTAACTGTAATAACCCTGATTTACTGCTGGTTCTGGAATGTCCATCAGGAAAACAGCAGACTCTTTCTAAGGACTGGTGAAGTCTCACATTCACTTGTCATAAATTTAATCACTGAATTTTATGAAAAAACATTAAAATCTGTTAAGATATTTTAGAAAAATTACAGTTATTATTTTACAGTTCAGAGACCAACATCCAAACATTAAAAATGAGAATGAATTTTTAGTCTGGGCTTGTTTTTAATTATCTTTGAGAAGTATGGTCTTTGGTGTCTGCATTTCTCCAAGTTTGGAAAACATTTGTTGTTTCAAGTTTTAAAAAAAAGTGGACCACTTTTTACATAATAAAGCTAAGGACTCATTTTAATATTAAAAAATATTTATCCCACAGTAAAATTAAATGTAATTGTAACTCATATCATCCAAGTGTCTTCAGAGTTATTGTGGATAGTGACGCTTCGGCCTGTTAGTTTTAGTTAACTATAAAGTTAATCCTTTATTTCCATGTTTTCTTAATGTTGACAGTCTTTTGTGAGGGCCATTGAAATAAATCCTTTCTTATCGCTGTGCAGAGGAGGCAGCCTGACAATACAGATGTTACACTTTGTCTACGAACACACAGCTGCGTCTTATCATGACTCACAACCTGCATGTAATGAGGAGCTGCGCAGCATTTGCATCGCATTTTTCTCAGTGCCGGACTAAAACGGAAAGCAACAGCACCAGCGGTTGACAAATAAAGGGATCATGTGGAAGACCAGACGAGGGGAAGGGGGTCACGAGAGAGCCATCCGGGTCGATCCGAACGAGCAGAAATCGGTCACGCACAGTTTGAGCTCATCAGGCAGTCGCTCAAACGAGATAAAGTGCAAACAGACTTCAGCTCGTTAATCTATTTAGTTTCTCCAGTCTCATTTTTGCACCGTTCGCCGCTGTCCTGCTGTTTCTTTTCCACTCGTCACAAGTGGGATGTTGGACCATCTGTCAGTCTTGGATTTAATTAGTGTATTCATTGAAAGGTATATACCTGAAACTGTTTTGACGCATAGGATTTAAATAAAACTGCTCCATAGTGTGGATTTGAGTTGTGCATCACGATTGTGAGAAACCAACGAAGTTGCTTACTGCACATATCTGCTTAATTTTCTGATTGAATTCCACATGTTGTAATTAATGAACAACAGACAGCAGAAAAGAAGATGCAGAAGTAATTGGCCTTTCTTCAAGAAAAGGTCATTACACCAAGTGTGACAAGATAATCTGAAAAACACTTTTAATGGGAGCCAGATGATTATGAATTTTGAAGTTTTGGAGTCTTTATTTTAATGATGTAACTTCAAAGTAGTGCCAGAGTTTTCCTAATTTTCAGGTATAATTAACTGCGTTTTGAATATGTTGGTGCTGAATTTTTCCAGCAATTCTGAACAATATATATGTGAGTAGCAAAAATAAAGTTGCTGAATAAAAAATTGCTGTTGATTCCCTTGATTTGCTAAAATTGTACATCAGAGATTGAAGTTGGTTGGCGCAGTTTAGCTTGACTTTATCTACAAATTTAAGAAATATTCTGTCAATATTCTGAGATAAATTTGATAAATTATCTCTACATTTAAGCTACTGCAGAACTACTAACCCAATACGCTACTTCACATTAATCACCCACTTCAAACTATATTTCAGAGTTTCAATTTTTGTTTTTCAGCAAAGAAAAAGAAAAATGTTCCTCATGTTGGTTTGGTCAACATGGTTGAAACTGTTGGTTCAAAACAGGATCAGAACCACAATCAATGGAAATTGTGTGTAATAAATTACTACAAATAAATAAAGCAAACCATTTAGTACAACATGAGAATTACCTAGTTTCAGGGATATTTACAGTACAGTCTTCTTATACCATGAGAAAATACTAAGATTCTTTGTAAATCTGTGAATATGACCCTCTAAACTAACAAACTTTTTGTTTTCCTCCCAACAAACTTTCTAATGTCCAGTTACAATGAAAAATACTAAACAGATGGACACCAACAATGGACTAATATGTTGGTTTAACAAAGTTACAAGGAAAAATTGACCTTCATAATCAAAGTACGAACAATATTCAAACATACTAAAATGCTAATTATAATTACAGCTAAACAACACCAGTTATCACAGAGACACTGACAAAAAACAAGACTGTACAGCTTAAAATATATAGTTAAATTTTTTTGTGTTAAATTAAAATTATGTGACTTAAATATGCAGTCAGAAGTTTTCTTCCACAAGCTAGCATTTAGCCTATGGGCTAACATGCTAACAGCTAATAGCAGGCGTTTTATTTCACTATTCTCATGAATATTTGGAAGTACACATCAATATGAGATATAATGTTAAATAAAATTCAGTTTTTAAAATATTTAAGAGATTTTAACATCTGTCTAAAAGACAAACTTATATTGTGAATGTTTGTCTATCAAGCTAGCAGCACGCTATTGGCTAACAGAAGTCTATGTCTGTCTACTTCCTTTTCCGCCACTGTTCAAAATTATTTACTTATAGTTATACGGTAGAGCTAGTTGTTTAATTGTGGAGTCCAACCACTTTATCTATGGTTTTCAAAGGCATTAAAGTTTTTGTACAGTTCCTTTACGCCATCTTTGTGATGAGTATACTTTATAAAATAGCAATCACTCTTGTATTTAAGTGTTTCACATTTGTTGGGTTTGTCTGCAGACAGTATATTTTTCACAGTCTTCTGGTTTATTTTTGGTTAAGACAAAAAAGTCTTCCTTTTCAAACGGTACATCTCTTTGCAGCCTAAAAGAATGAACATAATTATTGCTTTGCCTTAGAAGGTTGAGTCAGATATATTAGGTTTAAAAATATATTTTGAAGTGAAAAGGGACAAAGTTTTTTTTTTATGTATTAGTTACAAGTAGGCATGTCATGATAAATAGTCCCAGAAGTAATTGCGATAAACAATAATGTTGTTTTGAGACGACTTTTAAATACTGTAATAGTAATGGCATAATGCAAGAGCACATTCTCAAAAATCAATCAACTTTAAATTCTACTGAACATTTAATGCTGGAACTGGAAGATATTTTAAATATCCAAAATAAATAAGACAACAGAAACATCAAATAAAATTAATTAGGAAGTTTCTGTAAACAAAAATGTCCAAAACACCAAACTGAAGACCAGTTTTGGTAGAAAGAAAATGGAAAACAGAAAAACAATAGATTATGCAAATAGAAATTATTGAGCTTGTTGTAACTTATTATGTGATTAATTGATTTATTGCAATGTTACTTTCTTGATGTAACCCCATGTTTATTTCCCAGGAACAGTTACAAATATAAATGTGACGTAACCGCCTTCACAGATTAAATAAGTATTGAAATCTGTTACATTCGATGCTTTACACCTGACTAATTATTTATTATCTATCTGTCCCTGGAAACATTTTTTTCCATTACCTGTCATTTAGATTTTGATTTGCTTTGTTGTTTTGTTTAATTTAGAAATGATTTAATGAAATCAGAAACACAAAAATAAAACGAATTTAACAGACTTCAGAGCAAAAAACAAAAATTCTCTTAAAGGCAAAATTCTTAATGTTTTTTTTTTTTAGATTGTGTTTAAGCTGCTTTGAAAAAATCAGATAGGCTTGTTTCTTTAAGACCCGTTGCTTTTTCCATCAAGCCTGATGATTTCTTTTTGTCTCGTATCCTCTGCTTTCTTTCGTCTGTTCCTGTCTGCTTCCCTGGAGCAAATGAAAAGGCCACATCAAACAATGGATTTAGCTTTCTCCCTAAGTAGACAAGGGGAGGGGAAAAGCTGCGGGTAAACGAAGATGCACATAGTACGAACGTGAGCCAGGTGCAAAAGATGCATGCAGCTCAGTGGGTGTTTTGGGGTTTTTATGGTCTCATACATCAAAAAAGAAGTCTAACTTGGTTCTTATAATTTATCTTTTAAAGCCACAGATTTTTTAGAAGCATTTAAGTGACACCTAAATGTGAGTGAGTAGTTGTGTGATTTCGATTACGAACTTACTAAA